GCACCTGCCTGGCAAGTGCAAGGTCGTGAGTTCGGTCCCCGGTACCGGAGAAAAACCAAAACCAAAAAAAAAAAAAAAAAAATCATATGGCTTACACTCTATATTCTGTACAGCATCTGGAACTTAAGGGTAAACATATGCCCAAAGTTAAAATTTAAATGTGTAATATATAAATTATTGAATTATATGGTTGCTAGATAAAATTATGCTAAGGAATAAAGAAATAATGAAAATCTTTTAAAAAATCAGATGGCTGAAAGTGCTTGGGTCCATATTTTGGTTACAGTAAGCAGCTGTGCCATGAACATAAGTGTATAAACATGTAATGGCATAGGTGTACAAACATAAAGAACTAACTAAAAGAGATGATAAAATTTTAACTTTTAATTATACAAGTTACATGATTTCCCACACTTGGAGCAAATGATAAATTTCCCATTCCTTAAGATTATATCATGCAGGAGCAATTGCCTAGGTAGCTAGACTATCAAAAGTACCCCAGAAACCAAGAGCCATATATATATTTGTAATTCTCCACTATTGTATTTTAAATCATCCAGAGACAAATTTAGTCTAAATTCTAAAATAGCTCTTTTTTGAACTGGTGTAATTATTACCAATATTACATTTTCTTTAAAAGAACCTTCTATCTGATCTTCTGTTCTAATGCCATCCACCACAGGCTAGGTTATCTCTTGAAATTAAAAATTAAAACTCTCTTGGTAATCAGGCAAAGGTTGAGAAATATTTACTACTCAACTAAGATGACAGAAGAGAGACTCTCTGTCTCCTGGAATGCCCAGCATATGTGGTAAGTGTGTGCAATGACCGTGTTCCCTGCCTTGCTCTGGTTCCACAATTGGGATGTGAGGTAGTTGATATGAGACCAGAAACTTTGTAGCCACCTGTAGCAAGCAAGTCTCTCAACACCTGTTTTCTTTTTCAGAAAAGATGCATTTGGAAACATTAATCCATCTAGAACCTCAGGAACACATGCAGAATATCTGATCCTCACGGAATCTTTTCAAAAATGTTTTTTTCAATGTTGAGGATGGGACCCAGGGCACTGTGCATGCTATCACTGAGCCACATCCCTATCTCCCTCACAGAATCTTGACATCAGGCCCAGGTTTGAAAATTCCAAGGAACTAATGAATTAGAATATTGGGGAAATTTTTATTATTATTCGGCCAGTGGTGGTAGCAGTAAAATCAGTGAGCTGTCAGTCTGGTCTCTGCTATAGTTTGGTTTTTTGGTTTTTTTTGGTTTTTTGTTTTGTTTTGTTTTTTCTCTGTTATAGTTTGGATCTGGAGTGTCTCCCAAAGGCTCATGTATAAAAAGTTGGTCCCCAACTTGGCACCATTGGAAGGTGGTGGGAAACTTTAAGGGGTGGAGCTGAGTGAGAGGTTTTGGATCATTGGGGGTGTGCCTCAAAGGAGATGTTGATACTGCAACCACTCCTCCTCCTCTACCTTTGTTTCCCAGTCACAGCTTTGAACAGAATTCCTCCATCATACACTCCTTCCATGGTGTACTGTTTCACCATAGGCCAAACGTAAGGGGCCAACCAACCATAGACTGGATCCCCTGGAACTGTAAGCCCAAATAAACTTTTTCTTTTTTAAATCTTTTAGCTCAGGTATCTGCTATAGTAACACAAAGCCTCCATTTTAATTCTAATCCAAAGAAGAATGATTACCTATAGTTAAGCTGCCAGTTTGTTTGGTACTGGGAATTGAATTCAGTACCTTGCGCCTGCCAGGCAGGTGCTGTGTTGCTGAGCTATATCCCCAGCCCAGCTGCCACTTTCCTGTGAAGAAGGAATGTCTAGAAGTCAAATTATAGAAGGACCCACCACTTATCAGCTGTGGGTTTCTGGGAGTTACTTAGCCAGAGGTTAAACAAAACTGGAGAAAGCAATACCTGCCCTCACAAGGTGGTTGTGATAATTAAATGATGCAACGCTTAAGGTGAATTTTTTATTGATGTAAAGGTATATAAAACATTGTAGGGAAGTAGATCTTTTGCAAATGGGAAAGGGACCAAGACATGGAGGGAAAGGGAGAAAGAGGAGGGTAGGGAATCAAAAAAGAATCAAGACATGCTATGCACATGTACCAAATTCCCACAAGGAATGTGATCCTTATGTACTACAAACATGCCAATAAAAATAAAAATTGGGAAAAAAAACTGGAGAGCATAAAAAAATGTGTATTTTTGCTGTTAAAAATATAAGGGAAATATTATTATTATTATTATTATTGTTAAGATTATCATTATTATTACTTCAGGTTTGGAAGAAAATGTGGTTAGAAGGGTGATGCCAGCAACAGAGCAAGCTCACTGGACAGGAGGACAAGGCCAGCTGCGCTGATGATGCATCTGAGTTGACCAACAACCAAATGTCTTTTATCTGCTCTTTACTGACAGTCAGACCATCTCATGGTCACCAAATACCCCAGGCAAGATCTGAAACAGCCTGTGCGGGTCTGAGACCCACTCTTTGCACTGGTCCTAATTATGCCCATCTGAATGGTGCTAGATAAAGAATAGATTCCTAATAAATAACACTCTCATATCTCTATCCTATTCTAATCACAGAAACTATATAATCACACTTCAGAAAATTTAGGTCACATGAGAAAAACTTAAATTTCACCTGTTAAAACTTTGTCACACTTTGATATACATCTCTTCTATTTTTATATAGCACGCTGCCCCTTTTTTCTTTCTTTTTTTTTTTTAGTGCTGGCATGGAACCCAGAGCCTTGCTTATGTTAAGCGCATGTTCTACCACTGAGCTGCATCTCTAGCCCTATGCATGCTTTTTAAGCCGTTACTTTAATTATAACTGTAGAGGCAATTTTACATTCTACTTATTTCCTTGCTTGATAGTATATCACGAGAATTTTCTCTGTTCATGCTTCAACATATATATAGTCTTTAGAGTTGGTAGAACATTCCATCCATTCAGTAGGTTGATGTGCCAGTCCCCTATAGATGAATATTTGTAGTGCTTTCACTTTTAAGAAAAATTTGACCAGTTCTACAATGTACACCTTCATATTTGTAGCATTTCCTGTATTTAAGATTATTTTATTAGACTATTCATTAAGAATTGCCCCAAAGAGCATGAACATATTTACAATTTTTCATACACTTTGCAAAATTGCATTCCAATAAATTTAACAAACTTTCAACTACCACAAGGTATTTTACCTCACCCTCTCCAGAACTGAGAAATGGATTTTTTTAAAAAAAATTTATTTTTTAAAAAGAATTAAGTATGTGGAAATTGGTAGCCTATATTGTATAATTCACATCTCTATTTTAAATAAAGCACAAAAAATTTCCAAATATGTATCAGTTAGTTGTTTTTCAATTTTTATAAACTGTCTGTTTAACTTTCTTAAGTATTGAATGCATAATTTTGATAACTCACTCAAGGAGAAGACAATTATGTCTTTTTAGCATAAAGAGCCCTGGTAACTCAGGTGAATTAAACCGTGAGAGCTGTGCTGCTTCTTCTACTGAACAGGCAGTTCCTGTATCAAACCAGCTATACCATGTGAAATGCTTTGTGAAGTATCAGGTGTCTTATAAAGATAATGAATGGATGATTACTATTCTCTCATTTTATCTACAGCCTAAGCTCTTAGACTTACAAATAAAATGGCTCCAAGAGAAATAGTGTATTAAGGGTCAAATCAGGCAAGATGAAGACTTGGAGAACTCCACCCAGAACCCTAACAGCAGCGATGGCAAACATTCCAGAGACCCAAGTGCCCAAACTCCGTCCCAAAACCCACTTATTTATCACAAAGTGTCAACACTTCAATTAAACCTGAAGATTGAGGTTTTAGTATGGAAAAAAACAAGTGTTGTCCAGTGCTCTGCTGCTGGGGTGACTTGGATTGCCTGACAGAGAGGCTCTGCCTGCCGCGGGTTCACCACCCCTTCCTAACAGTTTCCCACAGAGTATTACGTGGTAGAATTTTTTTCCCTGCTAATTTTCCTGAATAGGCCAACAACAAAGTGACTGATCCAAATTGACTGAACTACTATGGAGCTACAAAGTTGCCTTTGCTAGCAAGCAAAATTCTCAGACATTAGGGTAGAGGAACAAGTAAATAAAAGCCTATTTCTGTTTGTGGGGGTTTGGGAGCTCTTCTGCTGGGGGGAAAAAAGATTATCTTCCCCCCTATTGTTACTTATATCAAAATTACCTATTTAATGACTGTCCCTGTAAACGTGATGGAGTGAGAAATAATGTGTGAGTTCCAACAATGCATCCTTGGTATTGGAGGTGGCTTTTATTTGTATGTTGTTTCATCATGTTCATGAGTATATTTTTCAGCCTGGTATTTAATCTGCTAATCAGAAAATATAAAACACTGCTAGGTTTTCTAGACAAAAGGTGAATCTGAGAGTGGTTCATCTTCTTCCCAGTTCTGCATTTATTTTAGTGAGTTTGTGTGTGTGTGTGTGTATGTGCATGCGTGTGTGTGTGTGTGTGTGTGTGTGTGTGTGTGTGTGTGTGCTGAATTTGAAACCAAGGCCTCATGGATGCTAGGGAAGCACTCTACAACTGAGTTAGACCACTAGCTTTCCATATATGTATGAATGAGATATTATTCTTGAAAATTTAAAGAGGTTCTGGGTTCCATCTTCAGCACAGAAAATGAAAAAAGTTCTATGTGATCAACATATAGGTGATAAATGAAAAACCTGGTCTTTCAATGTTTCCAAATACCTGCATATTTTGAAACACAAAAATAGAAACAAAACAAATCAAAATCCTGCTTTGTAGCAGGAAATGTCTTGCTGCCTCTATTGTTAGGGTATGGAAAACAAGCAAGTCCCTACGTCACACCAGGTTGCACCTGTGCTAGGTCAGCCAGTAGTGTAGTGAGATTCGCACAGGACCAAAACCATGTCAGCTCCTGCTGATCAATGTGGGGAGACTCAGGGAGCAAAACCTGGGGTGCTTACAGGTGAGTAATGAAGTAACCAGGTGAGGTTGAGACCAAAAAAATTAACTTTCTTCTTAACCATAGAAAGAATAAAAGGAAAAAAGAAAAAGGATAATGACAAATAGCCTGGCGACACTGGTAAAAAGAAAAGGGAAGCCTGGAGCCCAGCCCTTTCTGCAGTTTTCAGGGCTCCATTAAGGCAGACAGGACGCCTACCACCCGTTCCAGAAACACGGAAAACTCAAGTTTCCTCAGGTTTCCATGTAAAATTTGCGTCTTGTCAACAAGTACTTCAAAATTTAAAAACCCCGGGAGACCAAGAAAACACTCCTTGTGTTTCATTTGTTTCTCTTTGGCCACCGAGTCTGTGATCCCCGAAACGTGAGCGCCATCCGCGGTAGGCTTGTTATTTTCTGGCCGGGCGGTGTGTTTTCTGCAGCTCCAGAGCAGCTTTGGAGCCTCACTCTGTCCGCTCCGACAGGTGAGGTTCCGGCCAGGTGGCTCTTGGAGTGAGAGTTCAGGCGCCCGCAGTGGTGCAGGGGTCGGGGATAAGCTCTCCGGATCCTTCTCCAGTTCCGGGAGAAACGCGTCCGTGGGTGGTCAGGTGAGCCACGTCTGGTCTGTCAGGGTGGCGAGACAGAAGACTAGGAAAGGACCATATGGAAATCAAAGATTCTGCATGGTCGCCCTGTGGAAGTCTAAAGTCTCTCCTTGGGACCCGGCAGTCCCTCTCCAGCTCTCACCAACCAGCCTGGCTGGTCCCCAACAAGCATGGGGACCTAGAGCTGGCCCTAGAGGCGGCTGTGGTACTTCCTCTGGCGCGGATGCAGCTCAGTGCAGCTCAGTTCAACTCGACTGCCAGACCCCAGCCCAGCGGAGCGCAAGATGACGCGGGAGAGAGAAGTAGGCTGCAGACTGCTGGAGCGCCGACCCCCAAGAGCTGTTGCCATGGTCACAGGGGACTTTTGATGTGAAGCGCTGTGACCCCCCACACACACATACTCCCTTCTTGGCTCGCCTTCAGGATGACGTCACGGACGTCCGAGTCTCTGACAGGCCACCTGTGGGTTGCTCCCGGCTTTAAAGCAGCTGTTGTGCCCTGGCCCCCGCAGCCACGTCCACTGTATCCACACCTGGGCGGACCGCGTCCGAACTCCAGACCTACCTCACACTCTGGCGGCTGCGGACTGGACAGGCAGCCAGAGAGAGGCAAGTATTCCCCGAACCGCTTCCTCCATCCTCCTCTTCCTCCCTGCGCCCTCGCTCTGCAGCTTGAGCGCAGGGCAGGAGAGAGTTTTCTTCCAGAAAGAAGTGGACAGCAAGCAGTTGGTTTTCCTGTCCGGCCAGGCGACAAATGCCAGGTAAAATCCCAGCCAAAGTCCCTAGGGTCAGTCAAGGGAGCGCCTGGGCTTGGCATTGCCCAACGTGCCTCTTACGGCCTCGCAGCTGAAGTGGGGTGGCGTGGCGAGGGGAGGCGGTTGGGAGCCTGGCAGTGGAGCACTCTTACCTGCTGTTCACCAGCCCGAGTTGTGAGGCGTCTAGTTTGCACCCAGCCGCGGACGTCTCACTCTGTGGGGCAGACAGGCACTGGCTCCCCAACCTCGAGAGTGCCGCTCTCAAAAACCAGCCTCCTCTATCTCCTCCACCTCCTCCACGTCATCTAGGATTCCAGGTTCAGCAGACCTGTTGCACCCAGAAAAGCGCCCCAACCCGGTCTGCACGCCAGGAGCCCCGCGACTCTGCTTGCCGACACCCCGAGCGCCCAGCGCGGATGGGCAGATGTGGGAAGCTCCCAGAAGCAACTGAGTAATCATCTCAGTGTCCTTGGCTCTGGTTCCTACCCATTTTAAGGGCAGCAAATAATTCACTAACTCGGGGAAGGCAATGGAGAGGCGGAAGGCCCGTCTGCTGAAAAAGAGCATCTAGCGCAGGTGCGTGCTGGTCTCGCCTTTGCACCCGCCGGGTCCTTGCTTAAGGGTCACAATCCCACTGTCAAAGATCCCTGGAGCCCCTCCCCGGCAAATCCGAGTTTCCAGTTTCAGCACCAGAAGCTGGACAGCGCCCTGCACTCTGAGCGCGAGAAGTATCCCTGGGACCCCGCGTGGAAGAGTCCAGAAAGGTGAGGCGGCTTTATAGAGGACTCAGGGACGGATTCCTCTCTTCGTTCCTCCAGGGGTCCGGGTGTCAGTTTCTCGGAGGGCACTCTATCTCCTCTTCCTACATCCAGTGCCAAAACTTAGCGCTGAGCGCCGGCCAGGCGCCAAGACGAAATGCGCGTCCACAAGCGGGGAGCGCAGGGTCCAAGGCGCACAGGATCTATGTGATCCCCAGTATTGGAGTTCTTTGGAAAAATCCGCCACATCCTCTCTCTCACCCGCCCCTTCCCGCCCCACAGTCTCCGTAGCCCTGCTGAAAGTGAATGAAGGAAAAAACGTGGGGGAGGAGAGAGACGATAGTGAGGCCGAGGGAAAAAGCACATTTTTTCTTAGTGTCTACCTTGGGCATAGGGGAAAAAAAACTGTCCAAAATGAACATCAAGTTACGCATTTTTTATCCAAAAACACCCGAAGTGCCCTTTTTACGAGCAGCAGAGGGGATTGCTTTGCCAGGAAGTGGGGGCAAAAAGCCGCGGAGGGGGAGAATCTACCACAAAAGGGCTAACAGAGGTGGGGGAGGAGAGAGCAGCAGAGAGGACGCAGCACCGCGTGGTTACTAGGCAACCAGCCGTAGCCCCAGCCTCCTGTTGCCTTGGTTACAGTGAATGGAGGGGCTTTGGCCACTGATTACCCGTGAGCACTTTGATTCTTTAAAAGGTACCTTGGGAGTCCCAGGCTGGTGAAAGTCACCACACTCCCACTTCATCCTCCCCCACCACCTGGGGAAATCCTGGGAGAGGAATTCTGCCTTTCAAATCCAGGCACAAGGCAATTTCCCTGCAATCCCTCCCACTCCACCCCCAGCGAACCCTTGCTTTAGAAATAATAGTAACATACCCTACCATTTCTTCAGGATTTGCAGTTTTGCCCCTCCACACACACACTCCTTATCGCACTACACTGGAGGCACTGATCTCTCCCCGTTTTCTCTCTTCCCTTTCCCCCTCCTTTAAATGAGGAAAAATACGTTTGCTCTTCATAGGGCAACAAGAGACAGGCAGGGGTCTTATCCAAGGATATTACTGTAAAGAGAGTCTAAGCAATCACAGCCCCCCCGCAGAACTCTCACATGAGGAAGGGGGTGAATTCTAGATCGAAGCACCCCCACGGAGCTCAAAGTAGGGAGAAACACCTCTCCTTCAGTAAGCGGCCATTGGCTCAAGGTTCTATTCTCTTTCCTCTTCCTCCGGCCATCACCTTTGCAACTAGCAAACCGCACAGCCAGCGTGGGTCCTCTGATCTTTTCTCTTTCCCCTGATTGACAAATATTGACTTCAGTTTCCACCTGTCAGCTTCACCCGCGTGTGTTCATTTGTAACATCTGGCTGGAGAAGCACTTTACCCACAATTTTCCAAAGGCAACTGTGCCATTCTCAGAGTGATAGAAGGGGAAGCCATTAGCAAGTTACCAGACCAACCAGTGCCCTAAGCATTAGTGCATCTAGAATATTTCTCACTAAAAGCCAAGAATTTTCAATTTCCAGAGCAAAACCTTATTTTAAACTGAGCTATTGCTTGATAGCACAGGAAGGGAGAAAAATCCCTATATTTTAGGCAGTAACCATATTTCACCTGCAATGCCTGCCCTAACAAACACAAACATCTTTCCTTGTATTATTTTCCTTCATCTGTTGATAAAAATAATTTTTAAAAATTGATATAATGTCAATGCATGCTTATGGCCAAAGATGACATTGGTGGAACAGCTAGATATAGTTGGGGAGCATTTACATTAAAATGCCTCTCACGTGTTTCTATAGAAACTTCCTGATAGACCAGACCATACAGCTGGTCTGCTTTTTGTAATTTTTTTCTTCATAGTAATTTCTTTTATTAATTCTCTTGAGCAGCGATCACTGATCACACTAATAATGTCCCATAGCAACAGTAGTTATTGTTACCAAAAAAATCCTTTTCTGCTCATTTTTTTAAAGACAAAGGATTTACTTCCCTTTCAAGAATATAAGCAAGATCTTATTGGCCAGGAAAGAGGAACCATTCTCTCATTGGTTAGTGTATTTTGCTTGTCAACCAATAAGAGAATGCCATTTGTCCTTTGCTGACTAGCTGACTGAGCAGGATACCCAGAATGATTAAATCTGCCTTAGGCCTACCCAGTAGCAAAGAGTAGAATCCAGAGTTCCGGGACCCGGGACTCACTTTGGCCAATTCAGATTGAATTTGACTGGCAAGAATGGACTTTTCCACCTAGTTACTGGTGGAACAATAATATATTGTTCTATCGATTCTTTTTCATTTTATGTTATATCACAATCATTCCAAATCAGTGTAGGTTATTGGTATCAGCATAATGAAGACCCAGGGATTTTTATGATTTCCCTAGAAGTACAGAATTGGTCCTCACTCTTAGGGGTCTGATGAAACTTTTGGGGATGAGGCTGCAAAGCCAAAAGAGACAAACAGTTATCTCTGATTTTGGATTCCCTCTGTTAGCTTTGCTGCCCCATGGTCATTTTATTTGTTTTCACTCTTTTATTCTTTCCAGCTGTCCTTCTGGCCTGAATTTTCAGTGAGATGTAGGAAAGCCGAATAGATGGAGATGGTGACCCTCTAAATTAGACCTATCCCTACCAAAGAAGGTCTGTGGCAGGTAGGTGATGGTGGTCCCTGGAGTTGAAGGTTATCTCAGCCCCTCATGGCATTGGAGTTGGTCAGGTCTGGTTTGGTTTTTTTCCTCTTCCCTGCCTGCAATAAACAGTACAATTTAGGGATGATGGCATTCATTTCCATGTTTATAAGAGAGGAGTCAAAGATTCACTCTCCTTCTAGGACAGACTCTCCAATAACAGCCTGGTAGCCTGCAGGATGTCCTTACATGAGTATGTACTCCTTTGCTCGGTCTTTTCTTGGTGGTTGCTGGAGGGGATGCTGGGGATGGACAGATACCTGACTACGATGTTGCTACCAGGAACACTTCCTTTATGGACCACATCTGATGTCAGTGGGACTGTGAGCTTCAATACTAGATGGTAAAACCTTCAATATTAGGGGCGATATCTTGTCACTCTCAATTCCCTAGAGCTTAGTCATGTTTAAAGTAGAGGCTGAGCACAGGTCTGAACTAAATAGGCAAGCACTAGGATAAGTCCCTTATCTTCCTCTTCATGAGAATGGCAGCTCTAGCCCTGGCCTCTCTCCACAAAAGATAAACAAAGGCTCAATTAATTGTCACCATGGTTACGTGGAGTAGCCACACTGAGGATCCCTATACCCATTACTGTCATGAAGTAAGAGAACAGGGGTTGGGGAACCGTTGTCATGGAGGCAACCATGGAAACAGGCGTTGCTAAGGGGACAGCTGTAAATTCAGAGGAAAGAAATTAGAAGTGGGGAGTGGGACTTAGTGGGCTGGAAGGCAGAGCACTTTTTCAAGGTACATTTCTCTGGGACCATAGTAGCCTTTGGCAGGGGGCTATTTACATCTTCGCTGATAGAGCCGAGTTAAAGAATTTTAGAAATGTTAAAAAACCATGGTTATCATCAGCCCAAGTCCATCATCAATGAATCTGTCCTTGCAAAAAGACAGGGTCCAGAAAGGAGGATTACGTGGTGTGCACTGGTGCACCCTCTTCCATTGCCTCTTTGCCAAGCATTTTGTATAATCTAAGCCAGGCTGTGTGCAAGGCACTGGCGTGGATAAATGAGCACAATCTTGAGCAGGACGGTGACTCGGATGGTGACGTTAGAGCCAGGGCTGCCCACGTGGACAGGCCTGCAGTGTGGTGTCCAGAGAGCTGCTGCAATTCTCTCCACCTGCGCTATTTGTAGCTTGTCATTCCCACCCGAAGTTCATCTGCAGCATCCCCTAGAAAGATCTGCTTTCCCTGGGAATGCCTAGGGTCCTGTGAATCCCTCATGTCTTAGTGAACCATGTTCACTGGTGTTACACTAAGGTCTTTGTCTCTGAAACAATCGCTAGGGGTGGCGATGCCCTGGCCCACTCTCACCAATGACAGATGCATGGGGCTATTTTCTGTTTTAGAAGAGGTCAAGGATAATGAACTCCTGTTTCTTAATGGGTTAAATGGAGGGAGGGGGGTCTCAGTTCACCACAGCTTGGAGTTCAAGGCCAGCCTCCACCAGTGAGCATTAGATGAAAGAGGGTCACAGCCTCCTGGGGAGGAAGGAACCCCCTCCTTTGCATCTTGCTCAGGGTAACTTGGCATTTTCTCCACCACTGGAAGTGGCCAAGCCTCAGAGCTGCCGCCGCCAGCCTTCTCCGCTTCATCCCACTTGGTCCCCGGGTCTCTCCGTCAATCTCCATGGGGAGAACCAACTGGAAGATGGGGAGGTCAGCTAAAGAGGAACAGCTCACAATTACAGAGCAGAAGAATTAAAAGCACCTATAGGGAAGGGTAATTATCTTTCAGCTGCTGCCCAAATACAATTAGGGCTGCTCTCTCAAGCCACCAGGATATTGTGGCTTTTGCTAATTAAGGAGCGGATGTGCCCTGCCAGTGCAATTAGAGGCTGGCCCAGGCGGCGGGGTCCTCGCCTTCCCCCTCCCAGTGCCGCCCACAGGGGACATTAACCAGGGAGCCCAGCCTCACGCCCACCTGCCAGGAGAGGATGCCTGAGCCGTGGCTCCACCATCTGGCTGCCCTGCCATGTCTCTCTTCCTGTCCTTTCTG